CAACTTCATAAAGTGTTGGTAGTAAAATAGTTCCACTACAAAGGACTCAATTACTTAAAGAAAACCCTTTCGGATATTCACATTTTGCTTATTGGATGTTGATGCTTTTTCATTAGCATTTGTTTTTCTTATAATTGACTTATTTTAAAAGAGCAACATTGGTAGGGGATATGATTTAGGTGTCATTTTCAATTCGACAGAATATAGGTAAGAAATTATCAATGAAAAGTTTACTTACTCTTAAGTTAGAATAACAATTTAATTTTGTTACTGTTGGGCCCGTGCTTGACACGGGCCGTCCCATCTAGTATATATATAAAGGACAGGAAAGAATATTTGAGATTTTATCATTTTAATAGATGTTGATGTCATAGGGTTGTTTATGTAGTTTAATATTACATAAATATTCTTTTATTCTGGATTATGTAATTAATACTTTTTGGCAATGGCCAGGAGATGAGTAAAAAGTTGTTGAGGCTTTAGACATTATGGCCATGTGATCAGAGCCTGAAATTTCTTCCACTTCATCTGGTGGATTCTTTTCAATCATATACTATTTTAATTCCTCCGGCAGAATTTTATCTTCAGCATCACAACGAACGCATACATTTTGCTCGAAAGAACCATCTCCTTTGATATGTCTTCCGGACTGTGCAAGTATATTGGCCTTACTAACGTAGTAGCAAGCGCCAAATCCTATCACCAAACAGAGGAAAATAAAATAAAATGGATTTGTTTCTAAGATAAACTAGTGAAATTTTCGCCTAGCCGGGTAATTTCAGGGGTCTTCTTTAGTCTAGTTGAAGATTTGTATGTTTGTGCAGAGGATTCATAGCAGACTTCACTATGTCTCGTTTTGAAAAGAAATGAATCTTGTACCTGATTCGATCGCAAAAAATTAGAGGCCCAAACACCACTTGGTGCTTAGCAGGCTCAGCTGATAAAGCTTTCCATGGCTTTAGAAATCGCGAATCCACCAAGGCTATGGCCTACAAGAACCACTTTTTCATGTGTAGGAAGAGAAGCCATGAACTCTGTTAGCGGACTAAAGTAATCAGATAAATAAACGTGGGATTCTAAGGACCTGCTTCGGGTTGATCCCTGAAGCACCCAAATATTGCCGTGACATTATGCCCTGAAGATCTCATCAGTGTCACAATCTTGTACCAAGACCAGGCTCCACGACACGCGCCATGTACTAGCACAAAGTGCTTGTTAGCTTTAGGCCATTTAGGCCCTGGTGCTGTTGAATTTACATATGGCAACAAAAGTATCAGTACTAAACTTTAGAAACTTGATTTCTTTTCTAGTGTTGAAGTACAAAGAATCTTATAAGGTGATAATAAACCTTGTCCACATGATTATTTGAGTGAATTTTGAATTTTTTTCTTCCTTCGAATTCAACATTTCACTTGATCAGGGCTTACGTGGGGTTGCAGAAGTTTGTCAAATGTAGTGAAAATGATTGAAGTGTCTTTTGCTTGCGCATTTAGCTATCTTGAGCCAAAGTTACGTTTTGCTTTCGATTTGTCTTTGAAAGACAAGTACCCAAATAGCCGATTGGAGGACCGCTATTCAAGTCATTGAAAATTACAAAATATTTATATTTTACAGGTTTCTGAATCAACTATTCAGAGACTTATGAGACTGAAGTGGAAATTCAATATAGAGTTTATAATTGGGGAATGTCAAGCCAAAAGTTCGAATTTAAGACATTTAGGTATGAACTTAGGATTGTTACTCCCTAACTCCACATCTGTAAGTTTAAAGCTTGACCTATACACCAAGCCTAACTTCAGACGCGTATATCTGATTTTGAACTTAAGTTTGAATGAAGTCCAACTTCAGACGTACATTCAGGTCTGAAGTTAACGACTACATCAATTGTCGTCACAATATTGTATACCAATTTTTTTTCCCTTTCCACCACTGGACTTATGTCTCCTTTGATTTCGTTGTTTTGATAGATACAACTTCCACAAAAGGGAGAGTTTATCCCACTCAACATTAGATATTGAACCTTATGTTGCTGTACTCTATATAAAGTTCCTCAATGGTATTTAAGAGACTGAAATTTTATGATATTGTTCTTATTTGAACCTATTTTCATTGTAATCGGTTGCTTAAGTTAGGAGTTTTTCAGAAGTTCTATATAAAGTTTATTAATGCACCATTTCCAAAACCCAGGATGCAATATGATAAGTTAAATTATTATTTTTTTTAAAAAGATAGGCAACTTGTTTGTATATTGAGGTATATATAGTGTTTGAAATAAAATTATAAATTTGAAAACTGTGTAAAAAATATTATAAATCACAACAATTAACAATTTAAAGAATTTAAAAGATACATACAAAAATTCGGTAAAAAGACTTAAGAATCCTCAAAAAACAAGAGTGCCTTGCTTGGATGGTATGAGTTGTTGGAACAAAAGGATTGTGTGTACTCAATTGATCTAGGGTGCACGCCTCCCAAAAACTAGTAGTATCAGATTACAGGGAAAGTTGAAGTACAATTTCTAAAATTTATTTCAGTATACTTTATTATTGAATATTTAATCAAAGATTAATAAGCTCGTCACTTGTGAGCAATACGTAGAAGAAGAGTAAAAAGTTTTAGGGGCTTAGACATCATGGCCATGTGATCAGAGCCTGAAATCTTTTTCACTTCATCTGGTGGATTATTTTCAATCATCCAATGTTGAAATTCCTTGGGTAGAGTTTTATCTTCAACAGCCACAATGAATACTCGTCTAACTGTTCCGTACTTTTTGCTTGAAACAACTATCCCCTTAGAAAAATCTTCCACGCTGTATAGGTATAGAGGCCTTACTAGTGTAGTGGCCAGCGCCAAATCCTAACAACAAAAGGGAAAAAAAAGAAGAGGAAACTTTATCAGTTCAATGATGTTGATGTTCTACTCGAATCAACTGGAGAAAACATGCAACATTAGAGCCATCGTCATGACCATTTTGCTTGCTTACCTGAATTGGGCTCAACTGATAAACATTTCTTGCCAAGTACTTTGGACCAAAGATGAAGGTTGTTGGAGGATTGGTTGGTCCATTATCATACGTTACACGATTATCAAGTTGAGATACATTTCCATTGAAAGATTGTAACTAAATAATAGTTTCAAAATGAAAAAGATGTTAGTAGCTGACTGAACAGATCATAGCAAAGGCAAAGTTGGTGAATTATATACATATATATATGTACCTTGGTTAAGAGAGTGGTCACATTTAGAGTTGGACCAGGCATCAGAGCAGTAACAAATACAGCAACTGAAATCTTTTCTGGAAATCTTTCCATGGCATTAGATATGGCCAATCCACCAAAGCTATGGCCTACAAGAATCACTTTCTCATGTGCAGGAAGAGAAGCCATGAACTCCATTAATGGACTAAAGTAATCAAATAAATGTGGGATTTCCAGGACCTGTTTGTTGTTGATCCCTGAAGCACCTAAGTCAAGAGATGTGACATTATGCCCTGAAGATCTTATCAGTGCCACAATTTTGTACCAAGACCAGGCTCCGTGACACGCCCCATGAACTAGCACAAAGTGCTTGATAGTTTTACACCTTGATGTCGTTGAATTTACACATGGCAACAAAACTATCAGTACTAAACTTATTAGAAACTTGTTTTTCTCCATTTGCTTTCTTTTCTTCTTCTGAACGATGGTATGAACCATTACAAGGCAATTATTATAGATAATCAAGGTGTTTGACCTTCTAACTTACCTCCCTGCTGAAGCAATCCTATGTCAAATATTATTTATTGGGGATTTTATCATTCACTAAGTCAACTAGAGGAAGAGAATAGATTATTAGATTATCCAGGCTGAAGTTGCATAAAACAGTTTAATTGTCAGTATCACTGATAAAAGAAAGGATAACAAAGATCAATGCCAACTGCTGACTGAACCTAAAAGTCTATACTATGCAGGATAAATGAGGACATTTTCAAACAAAGTCACAATCATTTGACTTAAAATTACAGGGGACATGATCATAATTCATAAAGGTCATAGATGTTACCTAACAGAGGACTCTATGGCCCGAGTGATTTCATACAGCAGAAGAAAATTGTTAAGTGAGGGGGAATAATCAAATTAAGCACAGGGTGCTTAAATCTCATGAAATCACTGGAATTTTGGTATCATTCTTTGCATTAAATTAAACCAAACATGTTCAACAAATATAATAAAAATAAGAAAGGGAAATTTGAACTGTTTCGTGAGGGTAGAAACGTTCAGAGTTGGACCAGACATCATTATTTCAGCAACAAAAACAGCAACTGAATTCGAGTAGTGTGAAAATCTTGAGTGCTTGGATTTTGTTCCTTCGACATTTCAGTAAGTCAAAGGTAAGTTGGGGCTAGAGTTGTAAGTCCAAACATAACATATGTACATTAACTTTTGGAATCTATGATCTGATGAAAATAATTGCAACATGGCGTTACTGGGATCCTTAGAAGTTAAATTATTCTGTGAAATGCTCATGTATTGGAGATGTAATTAGAAAGGCATGATTTCACAAAATCCCTGACGCCAAGTGATAAGCCCAAAAATTACAACTCTGCTTATGTTGAACATTTCCAAGATGTTTTTTGTGGGGAACAACAAAGGGAATCTCTACACAATGAACAAAAGACTGATTCAACAAAGGGTAATCTAATTTTATTTCAACTATGCATTGTTCATGAATATGTAATACAAGCTGGTTTAAGCTATTAAGATAGCTTGTCATTTCTTGGCAATACGCATAAGAAGAGTAAAAAGTTGACGGGGCTTAGACATCATGGGCATGTGATCAGATCCTAAAATCTCTTCCACTTGATCTGGCGGATTCTTTTCAATCATTAACTGTTGAAATTCCTTCTTTAGAATTTTATCTTCAGCTGCCACAATATACGCTCGTCTAACTGATCCATAATTTTTGTTTGAAAGAACTATCTCCTTTGATATTTCATCCAAACTGTGAAAATAAATTGGCCTTACTAATGTAGTAGCCAGTGCCCAGTCCTAACACCAAGAAGGAAAAGAAAATCGTTTGTTAAGGCCATTCTCATTATCAAGAGTACCAGTACTCAGCTATTTCAATTTATATTTTTACTATGCTCTGCAGTCTGCTTACCTGAATTGGGCTCAGTGGATAAAGATAACTCGCCAAGTACTTTGGACCAAAGATGAAGGTTGTTGGAGGATTGGCAAGTCCATTATCGAATGTAAGACGATTATCAAGTTTAAATATTGCTCCACTGGATGACTACAGTAAAGTATAATAGTTTCAAACATGAATGTAAGCTAACATAAAGAATATCATTTCATGGCTAAATTTGAAAATGATACCTCATTGAAGATGGTGGCTGCATCAAGCATTGGACCAGGCATTAGAGCAGTGACAAATATAGCAACTGAAATCTTTTCAGGAAAGCTTTCCATGGCTTTAGATATGGCAAATCCGCCAAGGCTATGGCCAACAAGAATCACTTTTTCATCTGCTGGAAGAGAAGCCATGAACTCCATTAGTGGTCTAAAGTAATCAGATAAATGTGGGATTTGAAGGACCTGTCTCGGGTTGACCCCTGCACCACCCAAGTCCAGAGCTGTTACATTATGCCCTGTTGTTTTTATTGACGCCATAGTCTTGTACCAAGACCATGCTCCATGGCAAGCCCCATGAACAAGCACGAAGTGCTTGCGAGCTTTAGGCCGTTTAGGCCCTGACATGGTTGCATTTACACATGACAACAGAAGTATTAGAACAACTAGACTTGTTAGAAACTTGCTTTTCTCCATATCTTTTTCTTCTTCTTTTGAAGAATGAGCACATTGTATGAACCATTACAAGGCAATTATATAATTCCAGGAGTTTGACATTTGTTAATTAATTTACTTACTTTCATGCTGAAGTAACCCCATGTTAGGTGCTAATTGCTATAGGGACATTTTATTTTTTTATTGGATATGTTTCTTGGAAGTTCAATCATTCATCAAAAGAGAATAAATAAGTAAAATTTCTGTTTTCTCCAGATAATTGGAATGAAATCATTCACTATTTTATTTTCATATTGGATGGGTATATTTGGGCCATTTATGTAACTATAGATATATGTGAGCCACTTTTGTAATATAAGACATGTTCTATCTAACCTGGCAAAAGTGCATTCCTTCAATAATTTCTGATATTGAGAGACTTGCCCAACTGTATTCGCAAGTCCATCAAACCCTCCAAAGAAACAAACAACAGCCTAATAACACAATAACAAAGAACTTTACAATGGCCAAACTTGATGCTGCACTCTAGAAATAATTTCCTAAATAGGCTTCAAATAGCCGCCAACAGATAGTATCAAGTCACAAATTGGTCAAGCAACAATTCAACTCATTGCTGCAGTCATAGGCAGTTTCCAGAATCAAGAAAAAATTAGCAATAAACAGATTCGTCTCAAACCTGACCAAAGAGGGTTACAGTTTCTGTTTGGAGGATTTTCTTCTTGGAAAAATGGTCCTATAATAAGGCGACCACCACAAGTCAACCGGAGATGCCAAACAGATTTTGTAACAGAGAGCCGGACCAAGATTTGTCCACTCACGCGCCTTCACGCGCTCTTCGGACTGGGTTGTCTCCGCCAGCTTGAACGACGCGTGTGATTCACGCACTTCTCCTCTGGAAACCGGCTTCTGGGGTTTTGTAGATCGGGGTAAGATGGTCGTTCTTAGGTTGGTGGCGGCAGCTAAATTTCATTTACATACTGAGCCAATTCCGGCAAGCTTTCTGAGGTAACTCGGAAAAATGTTTTCTAACACCATTTAAAGATATGGCACCTAAGGTGAGCAGAGAATTGTTCAAGTCTATAAGCAGACTGCCCATTTATTTTTCAATCAATGTGAAACTTTAACCTAGTCTAACCATCATTATTATTATTATTATTATAGAGAGGCCAATCAAGTTGCGGATGGACTTGCTACGGAATCAACAAAATTGATTCTGTGTGTTTTATTTTGATACTAGTCTGTGAGAGTTTTATCTTGTCAAATCCTTGATTGTTTCTCTTCCATCTTTCCCTTCGTTTGTTCAATCTTTCATCTTGCGCCTTCAATCACGTGCCTTCCTACATAGTTGTTTTACCCACGAGATAAGGGGAAAGTGTTGTGGTACCGATTGTAACAGTCCAATTGAACCAAGATAGTAATATTGATATGTAATTAGAGAAAATAGAGATAGTTTACTGATGTCAATTCCAAACACTGAAATTACAACGAAACGAAACAACAACTGAAAGAAAATGATTGAGATGTCAAATTAACTAACTCGACATTGGGGCTTCCATGAAAGAATTCATGAGATCGCCATAGAAATGCATCATATATGTGAATTGCTGCTTCCCTCCTCAGCTATGCAGTCATGTGTAGTTTAAATTATTTCAACTAAGCTTCATTCTTGAATATGTAATGAAAAGCTGTGTCTGTCATTTGTGAGCAATGCTCATAATAAGAGTTAAAAGTTGAAGGGGCTTAGACATGATGACCATATGGTCAGAGTCCTCGATCTCTTTCACTTCATCAGGTGGATTCTTTTCAATCATCTGCCTTTGAAATTCCTTCTTTAGAAATTTATCTTTAGCAGCAATAATGAACACTCGTCTAACTGATCCATACCTTTTGCTTGAAAGATCTATCTCCTTAGCAACATCTTCCACACTGTATAAGTATAGCGGCCTTACTAGTGTAGTGGCCAACGTCAAATCCTAACACCAAGAAGGAAAAATAAACTAATTTAAATCAGTTACTTTCCATGTCCATGACCAGAATAACAAGACTTTGCTATTTCATGTATATATCTATGTTATGCTTTACTTACCTCAATTGGGCTCAGATGGTAAACATTAGTGGCCAAATACTTTGGATCATCAAGGAAGGTGGTTGGAGGATTGGTAGGTCCATTATCATATGTCACACGATTATCAAGTGCAGATAATACTCCCCTAGATGACTATAACAAAGTATATTTAGTTTCAAACATTTAAAAAGTGTAAGCTAACATATATAACAGATCATCCCCATGGCAAAAAATTGAGAATACATATGAGAAATTGATACCTCCATGTAGACAGTGGTTGCATTGAGAGTTGGACCAGGCATTAGAGCAGTGACAAATACAGCAACTGAAATCTTTTCGAGAAAACTTTCCATGGCTTTAGATATGGCTAACCCACCATGGCTATGGCCAACAAGAACCACTTTTTCATGTGCTGGAAGAGAAGCCATGAACTTCATTAGTGGACTAAAGTAATCGGATAAATGTTGGACTTGGAGGACCTGCTTAGGGTTGATTCCTGAAGCACCCAAGTCAATAGCTGTGACATTATGTCCTGAAGATCTCATTAATGCCACAATCTTGTACCAAGACCAGGCTCCATTGCCTGCCTTGTGAACTAGCACAAAGTGCTTGCTAGCTTTAGGAAATTTAGACCCTGACAAGGTTGCATTTACATATGGCAACAGAAGTATTAGAACTACTAGACTTGTTAGATACATATTTTTCTCCATGTCTTTGTATCCTTCTTTTGAAGAATGAGCACATAAAGGTTTCTTAACGGATGTGTCAAGTTAATATGGCCCTAGTAAAATGAAACCGAGGGAGAAGATGAAGAAATTGAATTGATTCATGATGGTATTTATAGCTTTGGAAAAAGGAATTGCATTTCGTGTTTGAGCATTTTAAAAAAAATAAATTAAAGTGCACGTAGCATACAATCTTTAATGAAAGGTGGCATTTAGATTTTAGTTCCTCCTAACCTAAATTTTCGGCTAGCTAGCTAGGACCAAGTTTTGGTAACAGTGATAAATAAAAAGTGTAAGGATTTAATTGTTGAGAAAAGTATGAGCTTGAAGAGAAAGAGGGTCCTGGGAGGGGGTAAGAGTGGCTATAATTTTAATGGTTCGACTCACATAGACCTCCTTACACTCTGCTACTATGACCTGCATTTGTACACAATAACTCCCAGTTCCTGCACTGTTTATTCATTTATAAAGTTGTGGATTGAGGTAAATGGCATCAACGAGCTTTTGCTCATCTACAGCATATTCCTCATTCATATTGTCCTCCTCCCCATTGACGAGATTTAACTGTTTGGTCTTGAACTAAATTTAAGTAATTACAGGAAATTGAGGTCCTTTATTGATGTAAATTTCAAACACTGAAATAACAATGAAGGAAATAACAACCGAAAGAAAATTGAAATATCAAATTAACTAGGACTTCTATGGAAGAAACTGAGTCGTCATATAAATGCATCAAATATGTGAATTGACTGAAGTTTTATTCTCAGCCTTAAGCCTGTCCCCCTTATTCTTCTTAACTAACAGCTCTTAATTAGCTATACTTGTTGGCAATGCTCAGAAGAGTAGTAAAAAGTTGTTTGGGCTTAGACATAATCATCATGTGGTCGGAGCCCTGGATCTCTTCCACTTCATTTGATGGATTCTTTTCAATCATCAATTTTAGAAATTCCTTTGTCAGGGCATTATTTTCAGCAGCAACAATAAACACTCGCCTAACTAATCCATATCTTTTCCTTGTAAGAACTATCTCCTTAGAAACATCTTCCGCGTTGTATAAATAAAATGGCCTTACTAGTGTAGTGGCCAGTGCCAAATCCTAACACCAAGAAGGAAAAACATGATTTAAATTAGGCTTAGTTGATGTTGCGGGTTAAGTACTTGAATAGATCTGTAATTTGTATAAACTACTGAAATCTTCCAATAGCCAATAGGTGATGCCTACTAGTAATTGTTTGCCAAAGAAGTCAGTCAGTCATTTAGGGCCATTCTCATGACCAGAATAACATAATGTATTCGCTACTTCAATTACAATATAAATTTGTATTATGATTTGCTTACCTCATTCGAACTCAGCTGGTAAAAATTAGTTGCCAAGTACTTTGGACCTGAGATGAGGGTGGTTGGAGGATTTGTAGGTCCATTGTCGTATGTAACATGATTATCAAGTTGAGTGCTTACTGCACTGACTACCTATAACGAAGTATATTTAGTTTCAACCATGTAAAAGTTTAAACAAACTTAATAGATCATCTCATGGCTTAAAGTTGGGAATATGGAAAATTGATACCATAGTGTAAAGGGTGGCTGCATTGATATTTGGACCAGGCATTAGAGCAGTGACAAATACAGCAACTGAAATCTTTTCTGGGAAAGTTTCCATGGCTTTAGAAATGACGAGTCCACCAAAGGCATGACCTACAAGAACTATTTTTTTATCTGCGGGAAGTGAAGCCATGAACTCCATTAGCGGACTCAAGTAATCAGAAAAAAATGGGATTTCAAGGGCCTGTTTGGGGTTGATCCCTGAAGCACCCAAGTCAAGAGCTGTTACATTATGCCCCGAAGATCTCATCAATGCCACAATCTTGTACCAGGACCATGCTCCGTGGAATGCCGTATGAACTAGCACAAAATGCTTCTTATCTTTAGGGGGTGATGAAAAGGTTGCATTTGCATAGGGCAACAGAGACTCGCTTTTCTCCATATCTTTTGAAGGATATGAGCACATAATATGAACTATTACATGGCAACTTTATAATAGGAGGAGTTAGGTTTCTGCCAACTTACTTTCTATTTTTGGAGGAGTTTTGACTCTTGCCAATTTACTTCTATGCAGGAGCAACCCTACATTAGCTATTATTTGCACTAGTTTAGTAAATTTTTCAAAAAAAATTATCATCAAAAAGTAGTCCAAATTTAAAGAAAGAAGGAAGGTATTCCATTTCCATCTGGCAGTCTAGCCTACTTTTATTTCGTGTTCTCCATTTGTTTTTCCTTTTTCATGTTTCTTTCTTATTTTTATTTTTTTCCATTCAAGAGTGACTTTCTGGCAAAATTTTACTGAGACGAAATTCGTACTACAATCATGAATCATCATGCATGTATATCATGGAGTACTATTTTTCTGTACATATAATTGACTATGAAGTGAACACTTAATTGTTCAACAATAACAGACAACTAAACCTCTGATTTAATGGGAAGCCTAAACATAACAGAGAAATAAATGGTAACAAAGGATACAAGGGAGATATATATATGAGGGATTAGACTTCTATCTACTCCTCCCCATTGACGATATTTAACTAATTGGTCTTGAACCAAATTGAACTCAAATTCAGTAATTACATGAAATAGAGCTCGTTTATTGATGTCAATTCAAATTACAATGAAGGAAATAAAAACTGAACGAAAAATGATTGAAATATCAAATTAACATAGAACTTCTATGGAAGAACTGAGATCATCATATAAATGTGTCAAATATGTGAATTGACTGACGTTTTATTCTCAGCCTTAAGCCTGTCCCTATTATTCTTCTTAACTAACAGTTCTTAGGTATATTTTTTTGGCAATGCTCAAAAGAGTAGTAAAAAGTTGTTGGGGCTTAGACATCATGGTCACGTGGTCAGAGCCCTCGATCTCACAGTAGCATTTGCATTTGACAATAGAGACTCACTTTTGTCCATATCTTTTGAAGGATGAGCACATAATATGAACAATTACAAGGCAACTATATATTAGGAGGAGTTTGGTTTGTGCCAACATACTTTCTATTCTTGGAGGAGTTTTTGACTCTGCCAACTTACTTCTGAGCAACCCCACATTAGCTATTCTTTGTACTAGTTCACTCGATTTTTCAACATGAATGGGTTGATGACAAATTAGCAAGAAGAATATCTTAAAAGATCATTTTATTATTGAAAATTGTGTAACATAGTCATTCAACTTTGATGTGTTTTACTAAAATCACTCAACTTAGAGATCATCAAATAAAAATATTGCATCACAAAATAAATTATTTTGTTATGGTATGTAAACATTGATTCCACTAATAAAATAAAATCGAAAGTGAATAATAAATGCCCTAATTAAACTATGTGTAATATAATAAAAAACTATCCTCCGTTTGATCTAAAAATATATCTCGATCGTTAAGTAGTTTACCATAATCATCATGGAGTATATCAAGTACTATTTGATATTTTGTCATGTCATAAAAATGCCCTTAAAAATATTCCTAATAAATACTTGATATTTTGCCATGTCATATTTTTTAGGCAAAAAGGTGTGATATATACTCAATTTTGTCATTTAGAGCTGATATATCTCGTTATAAAAGTGACTCATATATATACTCTTAATGTTACACAAATGACTCACATATTCTTAATAAAATTGTAATTAAATAATTGAAGCAAGTCAATAAGATAATTAAAATAAATATCTTACTATTTCTTAAAAGCTAATTTTAAAAAAAAATTAATGAATAAATCATTTAAGTTTGTTGGGTGACTTTCTAAGTAAAATATCAATAGTTGAGTGACTTTCTAAATGAAATACCAATAGTTAAGTGACTTTTGAGTTAAAAATAAAGTTGAGTGATTTTCTATGTAAACAATTTAAAGTTGAGTGACTTTCTAATTGAACTATGCAAAGTTAAGTGATAATTTGAGATATTATGCGTAGCCTACTTTTATTTAGTGTTCTCTTTTTATTTTTTATTTTTGTTGTTTAATACTCCCTCCATTTCACAAAGAATGATCTAGTTTGACTTGACACGGAGTTTAAAAAAATAAAGAAGACCTTTAAATCTTGTGATCATAAATTAAAGTTATGTCAAATGTACAAAATTGTCCTTTAATCTTAAAAGAAGTCATTCTTTTTTAAACAAACTAAAAAGAAAAGGAGGTCATTTTTTTTGAAACAGAGAAAGTAGTTCGTTCTTGATCTTTCTTTTTCAATAGCTAGCTAGATGTGGAGAACTCTACTTCTTTCTTCAATATCAAACAAAATTGTACACTGAGGTGACCACAAATTTAAATGCAATGTACTCCATTTATAAATTCATCAAATTAGAGAAATAGGTTTGTTATTTGCTGAGAGCACAAAAGAGCCAAATTAAAAGTAATTCATTTTTAGGGAAAAGGTATAAGAACCTCGAATTATAATGAAATTACATGAATACGTTCTATTTTTATAGGGACCTTTCTTTTATATAGTATTTCTTTGCCCAATTCAATTAGCTGCGGTATCTCGATGATTATGTCAATGTGAGGCATTTGAATTTTAGAGGAGTTTGATTTCTACTAACTTATTTCCATGCATTGCTGAAGCAACCCAAATTGGCTATTATTTGAGGCATTAGATTTTTATATTCATAAGACGGTTTCAAGTTTTGAACTTTATGGGTATGGGCGCGGTAGGTTCTAAATCAATTAATGACTCATTAACTGAATATGTATTTAAGGTCATGATGTTAAGTCTGTTGAACCGGGAAAATGCATAAGTACCCCTAAACCTATGCCCGAAATTTCCAAGACACACTTATACTATAGTAAGGTCCTATTACCCCGAACTTATTTTATAAATAATTTTTTACCCCTTTTCGACCTACGTGACACTATCAACCAGATAGCTTGAAAAAATTGTCAACACGCGCTGGACTCAGAAAATAGTACCCAAAAGATATAGGTTATTCTCTTCCTTTAGCTGATTTGGTGAATGATTGTACTTACTAGAAATAGATTGAGTATAGAATTGAATACTAAACTTGAAACAATAAAAATAAAATGCCCCAAATAATAGCCAACATGGGGTTGCTTATGCAGGGAAGTAACACAAGTCAAACTAATATAAAAATCAAATGCCTCAAATAATAGCCAATGTGGGGTTGCTTGTGCATGGAAGTAAGTTAGCACAAAACAAAACTCCTCTAATTATAAAGCCGTCTCGTTATGGTTCATATTATGTGCACATTCTTAAAAAGAAGGAAAAAAAGACAAACAAGTCAAGTAGTACTTCTGTTTCCATATGCAAATGCAACCTTTTCAGGGCCTGAAGCTAAGAAACACTTCGAGCTAGCTAGTTCATGGAGGATGCCATGAAGCCTGAGCCTGGTACAATATTGTGGCATTGATGAGATCTTTAGGGCTTCTCTTCCAGTTTGACCTTATGCCGTGAAGATCTCATCAATGCTACAATCTTGTACCATGAGCATGTTACATGGCCTTGACAAGGTTGCATTTGCATATAGCAACAGATGTTTTAGAACTACTAGACTTAATAGAAACTAGTTTTTCTCTATATCTACAATGTATTTCCCTTCAAGTTTCCTTTCAACTTGAATGATTTAATTGTTGAGAAAAGTAGGAGCTTGCATATATATATATATACCGTATTATTTTAGTAAAACACCCTTCGTGAAATTTCTGGCTCCACCACCTGCTATTAATCTTCTTAATTAGCCATCAATCTTTGTTACCTATTATTCATTAGCTGATAAGTACAATTCTTCATTACCATTCAATATAGCTTTGAATAGTCCTAATGACTAACAATCATTATTCAGACATATATGGATGCTATTGTCTGGTCGGTTATATATGATCAGACCTTAACCATTCTGAGCGGAAGTTTTCTTGATCAATATATTTTCAAGTCCGTACGTAATTCTTCTTTGGCTGCAAAGATCCACACAAAATCTTCCTACATATTATAGAGTGTTGGATTTTCTTTCTTAATGAATCTTGTTGGTTTTTGTGCTCCTAGTTTTATACTACAAGAGGTTGTTGAATCCTAGGGATCCGTGTGAAACACAGTGTCATTGACATGCCTCAAGCTATAAAGAATTCTCTACACGTTTTGTGACTAAGTATTTTCCATAAGATTTACAACACTTTATCAACTTCTATGTCCTCCTCCCCGTTGACAGGATTTATCTGTTTGGTCTTGAACCAAATTGAACTAAAATTCAGTAATTATAGTACATAGAGGTCGTTTATTGATGTCAATTCCAAACACTGAAATTACAATGAAGGAAATAACAGCTGAAAGAAAATGATGGAAATATCAAATAAACTAGGACTTTTATGAAAGAACTGAGATCCCCATATCAATGCATCAGTAATTTTATTCTCCGCCTTACACAAGTCCCCCTTATTCTTCTTAATTAATAGCTCTTAGTTATACTTGTTGGCAATGTTCAGCAGAGTAGTAAAAAGTTGAAGGGGTGTAGACATCATGGTCATGTGATCAGAGCCTTGGATCACTTCCACTTCATCTGGTGGATTCTTTTCAATCATCCTCTTCTGAATTTCCTTCTTCAGAAGGTTATCATCAGCAGCAACAATGAATACTTTCCTAACTGATCCGTACCTTTTTCTTGAAAGAACTATCTCCATAGAAACATCTTTCACACTGTACAAGTATATTGGCCTTACTAGTGTAGTGGCCAATGCCAAATCCTAACACCAACAAGGAAAAAAAAACAATTTAAATCAGTTACAAGTTTATGTTGCAATTAAGTAATTGATTAGATCAGTAATTTGGATAATTAAACTATGAAAATCTTCCAGTAGGTGATGCCTTCAGCTACAGAGTATATTTAATTTGTATTATGATTTTCTTACCTGATTTGAGCTCAGCTGGTAGATATTAGTTGCCAAGTACTTCAGACCTAGGATCAAGGTGGTTGGAGGATTCGTAAGTCCATTATCATATGCAACACGATTATCAAGTTGACCTATTACTGCACTGAATGTCTATAACCAAGTATAGTTAGTTTCAAACATGTAAAGGCTTAAACAAACATAACAGATAATCTCATGGCTTAAGTTGGGATTATGGAAAATTGGTACCTGAGTGTAGAGGGTGGCTGCATTGAGAGTTGGACCAGGCATTAGAGCAGTGACAAATACAGCAACTGAAATCTTTTCGGGGAATATTTCCATGGCTTTAGAAATGGCAAGTCCACCAAGGCTATGGCCTACACGAGCTACTTTTTTATTAGTAGGAAAGGAAGCCATGAACTCCATTAGCGGACTCAAGTAATCAGAAAAATGTGGGATTTCAAGGGCCTGTTTCGGGTTGATTCCTGAAGCACCCAAGTCAATAGCTGTGACATTATACCCTGAAGATCTCATCAATGCTACAATCTTGTACCAGGACCAGGCTCCATGGCCTACCGTATGCACTAGCACGAAGTGTTTCTTAACTTTAGTCCCTGAGAAGGTTGCATCTGCATATGGCAACACAAGTATTACAACTACTACACTTGTTAGAAACTTGTTTTTCTCCATATCCTTTTTCCCTTCTTTTGACGAAAGAGCACATAATATGAACCATTACAATAAGGCAGCTTTATAATTAGAGGAGTTTCGCTTCTGTTAACTCCATGCAGAAACAACCGCCACGTTAAATGACACTATTATTTGAGGCATTTCCTTTTAAAGAAGTTTGACTTCTGCTAGCTTACTTAATTTAGGTTCAAGTTGGCTATTATTTGAAAAAGTGGGCGAGCAATGTAGTAGGGGTATGACAACCTATTAATTAGTTCATCTTGATCAAGCTTATCTCAACCAAGTAGCCATTGGGCAAGTCATTTAATTGATTCAGGCCATTTTGATCTGCACAAATTTAGTTCAATTTGGTCATTTGGCACACCTACATATATAGGGAGAATAAATGATTTTCACCCGTTTGTGCACTGATGATGAAATTTAACCCTTTGGTCTTGAACCTAATTAAATTAAGTAATTACATTAAATAGAGGTACGTCAATTCCAAAAACTGAAATTATACTGAAAGGAAATAACAATGGAAAGAAATTGGTTGACATGTCAAATTAACTAGCACGATAATAAGGACTTCCATGAAAGTACTGAGATCACCTTATAAATGCATCAGATATGTGAATTGATTGGAGTTGTAGTCTCAGCCTTACACATCCGCCTTATTCTTCTTAATTAACAGCTATTATTTGAGGCATTTGCTTTTTAAAGGAGTTTGGCTTCTGCTAGCTTACTTAATATAGGTTCGAGTAGGCTACCTATTATTTGAAGAAGTGGGCAAGCAATGTAGTAGGGGCTGGTGCAAGCCTGGGTATTGTGGCCCTCTCTATTAGTATCCGTGCCTCGACCAGTTAGGTGCCTTCTTGGTTTGGCAAAGCACATCCTATTACGGTAACTAGTGTTAAACTATGTGATCATCTTGGTTAGTAGAGAAATAATGACCTGATATAGAAATTTTGAACAACATTTTAGTGTCTTTCACAAGAACAGAACACATCTTGAACAGATTTTCTGAATCATTGCCTTCGTTGGACTACCATCTTTCATCAGCTAACGACCTAAATATATTAGAATTTTAATTCGTCAAATTGTTGGCTAAGCTAAAACAATTCTAGAAACATTAGAATACGTTAGGTATTATACATATGGTGGTCTAAACAATTAAAAGAGTTGTACGTCACTACAAGAAAAGTGTGAATTACATGGGGATTTTCCTGGAGATTAGTATGAAAATTTGCAGGAAAATAAGTTTCCTACAAATTTTCTTACTAATCCCTAGGAAAATTCCCATGTGATTCTCACTTTTCTTGTAGTGTGTTATGCTAAATAGAAGCGCCTCACGCATCCTCATCTCTGAGCTCAGTTTACCCTCCTCGGCTATTCTCAAGCCATAAAGAGGCCCCTTTGAACCCCAATAAGATGGACAAAGGAATTTAACCCCGATCGAGGAGGAGATTGATATTAGAATACCATATAATGAAGAGAAATTTATGGCATTCGCTTACTGGTCTTGATTATTTCAAGAAAGATCATTCTACTGTCCATAGCATAGTACCTGAAGTTTTTTTTTGTCAGCGTGTCGTAAAGTAGTATATTGCAACCTTTAATAAGAAAGAAGAAGGAACAAGCGAACCAGTTTGCTAAATGAAAGTTATTATGGTTCATCTTATGTGCACATTCTTAAAAAGAAGGATAAAAAGACTAACAAGTCTAGTAGTTCTAATAGTACTTCTGTTTCCATATGCAAATGCAACCTTTTCAGGGCCTGAAGCTAAGAAACACTTCGTGCAAGTTCATGGAGGATCCATGGAGCCTGAACCCGGTACAATATTGTGGCATTGATGAGATCTTTAGGGCTTCTCTTCCATTTGACATTATGCCCTGAAGATCCCATCAATGCTACAATCTTGTACCGTGACCATACTACATGGCATCGATCTCCCATGAATTAGAACAAAGTGTTTCTTAGCTTTGTGCCCTGACACGGTTACATTTGCCTATAGCAACATAAATATTAGAACTACTAGACTTAATAGAAACTTGCTTATCTCCATATCCACTATATTTCCCTTCAATTATTGAGTTTCCATTCAACTTGAATGATTTAATTGATGAGAAAAGTAGGAGCTTGAAGAGAGAGAGAGGGAGTTTACGGATAGGCTATTAATCTTTGTAACCTATTATTCATTAGCTGTTACAATTCTTCACTACCATTCAATATAGCTTTGAATAGTCCTAATGACTAAAAATCATTATTCAGACCTTCACCATTCTGATCAGAGGAAGTTTTCTTTATCAATATATTTTTAAGTCCTCCTTTGGGTGCAGAGATCCACACAAAATCTTCCATGTTGGATTTCTTTCTTAATGATTAATCTTTGTCAGTTTCAGTACTCCTGGTTTTATATTGGAAGAGTTTGTTGAATCCTAGGGATACGTACACCTGGGTGAAATATCTGTAAGATAGTGTCATTAACACACCTTTAGCTATAAAGTGTTCTCTACAACTTCTATGACTAAGTATTTTCCGTAAGATTTTCAACATTTCTTCAGAATTAATTTCTATGTCCTCCCCATTGATGAGATTTAATTGTTTGGTGTTGAACAAAAAATCAGTAATTAGGGAAATAGAGGTTGTTTATTGATGTCAATTCCAAACACTGAAATTACAATGAAGGAAATAACAACTGAAAGAAAATGATTGAAATATAAAATAAACTAGGACTTTTATGAAAGAACTGAGATCCCCATATCAATGCATCAGATATATGGATTGACTGAAGTAATTTTATTCTCAGCCTTACCCTTATTCTTCTTAATTAACAGCTCTTAGCTATACTTGTTGGCAATACGAGTAAGATGAGTAAAAAGTTGAAGGGGCTTAGACATCATGGGCATGTGATCAGATCCTGAAATCTCTTTCACTTCATCTGGCGGATTCTTTTCAATCATTAACTGTTGAAATTTCTTCTTTAGAACTTTATCTTCAGCTGCCACAATATACGCTCTCCTAACTGATCCATACTTTTTGTTTGAAAGAACTATCTCCTTTGATACGTCATTCAAACTGAAAAAATAAATCGGCCTTACTAATGTAGTAGCCAGTGCCCAGTCCTAAAACCACAGAGAAAAAAAAAGGACGCTTATCACGGCCATTCTCATTATCAAGATTACCAGTACTCAGCTATTTCAATTTCATATTTTTTACTATATGCTTTGCTTACCTGAATTGGGCTCAATGGATAATTATAACTCGCCAAGTACTTCGGACCATAGATGAAGGTTGTTGGAGGATTGGCAAGTCCATTATCGAATGTAACACGATTATCAAGTTTAAATACTACTCCCCTGGATGACTGTAGTAAAGTATAATAATTTCAAATATGAAAAAAAAATAAAAAAAGCTAACATGCAGAATATCATCTCATGGCTAAATTTTAAAACGGTACCTCATTAAAGACGGTGGCTGCATCGAGAATTGGACCAGGCATTAGAGCATTGACAAATATAGCAACTGAAATCTTCTCAGGAAAACTTTCCATGGCTTTAGATATGGCGAATCCGCCAAGGCTTTGGCCTACAAGAATCACTTTTTCATATGATGGAAGAGAAGCCATGAACTCCATTAGCGGACTAAAGTAATCAGATAAATATGGGATTTCAAGGACCTGTTTCTTGTTGATCCCTGAAGCACCTAAGTCAAGAGATGTGACATTATGCCCTGAAGATCTTATCAGTGCTACAATCTTGTACCAAGACCAGGCTCCGTGACACGCCCCATGAACTAGCACGAAGTGCTTGCTTGCCTTAGTCCGTTTAGGCCCTGACATGGTTGCATTTGCATATGGAAACAGAAGTATTAGAACTAATAGACTTGTTAGAAACTTGTTTTTCTCCATATCTTTTTCCTCTCCTTTTGAAGAATGAGCACATTTTATGAACCATTACAAGGCAATTATATAATTCCAGAAGTTTGACATTTGTTAATTAATTATTACTTACTTTCATGCTGAAGTAATTAACCCCATGTTAGATACTACATGGGCTATTTTATTTTTAGAGAAAAGGGTTTGATATGCTCCCTCAACTTTGCTATTTAGAGTTAGTATACTACTCGTTACAAAAGTGACTCATATATACCGCCAACCGTTATAAAAGTGGCTCACATATACCTCTATCGTTACAAATATGGCACACCTATACTCTTTTCATCTAACGGAAGTGAAAAATAATAATTTTAAATTGCTATTGTCCTCCTCTCCATTGACAAGATTTTACTGTTTGGTCTTAAACCAAATTGAACTAAGACTCAGTAATTACGTGATATAGAGGTTGTTTATTGATGTCAATTCCAAATACTGAAATTATAATGAAAGGAAATAACAACGAAAAGAAAATGGTCGAAATGTCAAATTGACTAGCATGATAATAAGGACTTCCATGAAAGTACTGAGATCTCCATATAAATGCATTAGATATGTGAATTGACTCAAGTTTCATTCGCAGCCTTACAATGTCCGCCTTATTCTCCTTAATTAATTAACAGCTATTTGAGGCATTTGCTTTTTAAAGGAGTCTTAATTTAGATTCAAGTTGGCTAGCTATTATTTGAAGTGGGCAACCAATGTAGTAGGGAATGGCGCAGGGTAAAGCACATCCTACTACAGACACTCCACTAAATGTTGTTGTTGTCTTCTGTAAGTTAGTGTTTAATTTGTGATCATGTGATCTAAAAAATTAATTTATTAGAGAAATAATATTTTTAAATATGTATGGTTATGTTTTATGTCTAAACTATTGAGATCGATTAAACCTACTGACAGTATGATATATCATCCACAACTATTAGTTTTAATATTCACATTGGTTTAATTATATAAAAAATTCACAATGATAATCCTCTTTTTTTTTTTTTAGAATTTTCCAATGTGACGTGTTTGTAAAAATATAACACTACTGTATATAATTTTGGGAGAGAAGTATGGATTCCGGTGAACTCGGGCCCACACGTTCTCATCTTTGAGCTATCAGGCCATAAAGAGCCCCCAATGCTCCAATTCCTCCATTGAACTCGAAGACCTTTGCCTAATAAACTTGTCCTAAAATTCCGTCTAAACGAAAATTGGATGTAATTAAAGTGTTACTTTTGAATTTTCTTTTATTTTTCTTTCTTTACTTTTTAATTTATTTCTATTATTTTAGATTCTTTTTTATTTTTACTTTTTAATTTTGTTTGAATTGTTCATTATTTAATTTTCATTTTTCTTCTTCTCACGTCCCAACCTTCGCTTGTTATGATACTATGAAATTGTTCGTGTTTTTTTATTTCTTTTTTTCCACTCATTTAATATAACTACGTTATTATTTTAGTCTTGAATTAAAATAGAATTTCATTATAGAATTGATTATAGACTTATGTTTCTATTCTCTTTTTTATTATTATATCTACTAATTAAGTTATGTTGGAATTTGATAAGAGTATTATGTATTTTCTTTTTAAAATTTATGTTATATTTTTTTGTTCCAATTTATTTGCTTTAGTAACACTGACTTGTTATTTCATATGCATGTCATCCATTTATTTAGTTAGAATTGATAAATTGTTTTTTTTTGGTCAAATATTTTACTATTAATATTTTTGTTAAATAGGTACTTTTGCCTTTTATTTAATTACTCCATTATTCATAAAGACATATATTTATCAAATATATTAACTTAATAGCAACATGAACATTGAACTGATTTAAATCAGTTTCTTTTTCCTTCTTGGTGTTAGGATTTGGAGCTGGCCACTACACTAGTAAGGAGTAAGGCTGACAATTGGACAGGACCGGATCAATAGGATCAGTTTTATCATAACCGATCCTTGTTATCAGATTTATTTATCGGAACCGGGTTTACCGGAAATTTCCAAAGGTTTCGCCTGGTCCCTTAGTTATCGGATAGGAACCGGTTTGGACCGGATCGGATTCGGTTCTTATCGGATCATTGTACTGGTAATTTTATTTTTTTTAATTTTAATTATTATATAATATTATATTATTAAAAAACTTCAATTTAAAACTTTAAACTTTAAAGTAAACTAAAGTTTCAATTGAATTTAAGTTTAAACTTTAAACTTTAAAATTGACTTCAAAGTTTAAAGTTTATATTGAATTTAAAGTTTAAACCTTAAAATTCAATTTTATATTAAAGTTTAAACTAATATTAAAATAGTTGAAAATTAAATTT